TCCTTATTGCCAACCAATGATGTTTGCACTGAGAGCGGGATTCAAACCAGCAAACCTTTGGATCAGAGGTCAAACCAGCTAAGCTACTGTCACCCTCTACCATCAAGATACAAGAAAGTAGGGGTGGGCGATATATCGATATTTTAAATATATCGACATAGTTTTTAAACTCGATATGAATTCTGACATATCGTATATATAATACGATATAATATGATATAATGCTTATATTCAATTTTGATTTCGCCGCTTCGCTTGTTTACCTTCTCTCTCGCCGCCTGCGCGCCCCCGCTTCCCTGATTTTGTTCGTTCGTGTCTCCTTCACTCGTCACTATCGCCCTGAACGCCGAAAGTTGGTGCCAGTGAAAAGCTTCAAGCACCACGAACCTTTTCCACCATTTACAGACAAAACCATCAGCAGCACATCCTCATGTTCCACCGAGTCGCGTCCTTTAGCCCGAAAGAAGCTAAACGAGCTGAGCTGCATGAGAAGTGCTGTTTATGCAAATGAGCCATGCGCTTAAGTTTCGTTTCTGTAAAATGTAAACACACGTGCGCAAAACTGCATTAAACACATTATTATTTCAAACGGGCTGATGTGGCTCTAGAGTCGTTATGCTTTATTTATTGTAAAGTTTAGCAATGTAAAGTTTATTTATGCAGAAGATTTTAATTAATAATCTGCTGCAGTGTCACTTGAGCAATAGTGTTTGGAAACGTTGGGTTTGATCTGCAGTGGATTGTGGGAAACCTCAGAGCTCCTCACTGCTGGTCAGGAACATTGATCTATTAAAATAAGGAACATCCTGAGCTTTTTCTGCTAAATGAGCTCATGATTATGGTCTGGATAACAGAGTTAATGCAAAGATGAGCTTGAGTTGAGTTGTTTTATTTATGAATGAAAAGAAGGAAATATGTATTATTTCTTTTATTTTACAGTTAAATTATTATTTATGTAATTAGGGTTTTTTGTAATCTTAAATGTTCCTACATGAACTGCCGACCCTCTTACACTTCAATAAAAAAAAAGGACCTTGTGGAATTTGGCAGATTTGTTTTTGCAGTTTTCAGTTTTAGCGGGTTATTTTTTTCTTGAACATATATCGAGATATATATCGTATATCGAGATATAGCAAAATATATCGAGATATATTTTTTGATCCATATCGCCCAGCCCTACAAGAAAGCACCTCCACTTTTTTCATATTTACCCAAGGGTGTACAAAACATTTTCATAGGTCTCGACTCAAATTCTCCCAAAGCAAAGTCTTAGTCAACAGCGCATCTTCAAACCCCACTGAAATTTCAAACACTTTCAAATGAGACTAAATCGGCCCATTCTTCTGCACATTACAGCACTTTTGTTGAATTGACACTGTCACGCAACAGCTACGCCACGCTAAAGCAAAAACAAAACTTTAGCTGAGCCGAGGAATATCAAGTCTGATGGATCTGCGTTCTGATAAACATCCATTTTCCTCAGACGAACGGTGCCACTTGGAGAAATGGAGCTGGACTTGTTTTGCTTAAACTGCACGATGGTTGCTTTATCATCACATAAACTCCGAACACGTAAAAAATACAGTATTGTGTCTTCAGTATGTCATTTGTAAAGTGTAAGTGGCTCAAATATCTCAAACGTGAAGTAGCAGAGGTGAACAATTTGGGAAAAATCTCTAAATATCGATTTGTCTGACAAGCATTAGACAAGCTTAAACTCTCTACATTATGTCAATTTAATCCAATTTACAGACAGATAAATGTCCTAATACGTGACGCTGCATCAATATTTATCTGCGGAGTAACTTGTTTGTGTCTGTGATGCCGTACTGCCCCTGAACGCACCTCCAGACTCACTTGACTCACGTGCGCTTCTGCAACATGCTGGATTATATTCTTTTAACGGACGATCTTTTTGCGTCAGGACTGAAAGGACACTTATTGGTGAAGACTTGAGGTGTCAGTGCACATGTGTCGGTTTTGGAGCTAATTTTGGTTCTTTTCTCATTGTTTAGCTGCTATAGCGACCACACATAAACAGCCTGTTTTTTTTTAAATCATTGGCCTAGTGTAAAGTGACTGACTATAGTGGCTGTATATATGTTTTTGGAGCTGCATTGATATGTATAGTAAATGAGCTGTGAACAGAGGTGTGAATGATTGGCATTTACACATATAATGAATTACCGCAGTGCGCACGCATTTACTGCTAAAGACTTCTAGCGGTGGTTTATTTACTTTCTTCTTTTTACTGGCTAGAATGTGACGCAAAAATGCCATTAGTCCTACGTACTGTCTTTAAACATGACAGTAAAGGGGCAGAATAACAATAAAAATGGCCGAAATAAACCCAATTTAAAATGCAACAGAACGAAACCTAAGTTTTATAATCAAGAGATTGAAGATTTATAGTGGATTTTTACACTAAATATATCGGCTTCTCCAACTCCTGTTTTATCGGTATCATCTGCAAAACAAATTCTTATCGGTCAGGCCCTTGTACAGATATAAACTGGCAGATACTTAAAGCCAAAAATATCGGCATTGGTATCAGCAAAAGCTGGATCGGCGCATCCTTAGCAGATTTTTCCATGTATTTGAGCAAACTGTCCCACCCTAGTACCGATATATTGTGTAAGCAGCTCTTGAGGTCAAAATATGTCTGAATTAGAGATGTAACAATAACTGAAATATCGTGATATCGTATCGTCAATAGTCTCACATTAATATCGTGGACTGTCACAATATATCGAATCACAAGTTCCTTTGCTTAAATGCATTGTTTTATAGTAACAACAGCTTATAAACATCGGGAACTACATACCCCATGATTCATTTCAGCGTAGACAACATGAAGAAGTATGTTTTTTACTTGAATTCTTGGGATTATGATGGAAATTATTCACACCAAAATCTTGTCAAGGGATTTTAAAAGCAAAAAAGTGTCCGATCTACAATTACATCAGCCTCTTCAAAATATCACAATAAATATAGTACCGTGAGATTTGTATATTGTTACATCCCTAGTTTGCATCTTATTATACAGTTTTATGGTCCAATAATAAGGAAGTGTGTATTGGCATGCTAGTTGTTGATAATTTACTTGTGACTCATTGTGGTGAATAATTAGGATGCTCTAAATGCAACTTTGGAATAACTTTGGATCACTTCAAACCGTTTAAAATGACTACAGTCAAGAAGTACACGGCCTTTAAACTTACAATAACGACTTTTATTTGAAGCTTTGGTTTTTTACTACTTCTAACCCGGAAATTACAACTCGTATTATTACCATCATTTCTACAATCTTTACAGTGTGTTAAATGAAATTCCAAACTGGCTCAAAGAAAAGAATCTAATGAATTGCGATATGCCCTAGGAAACTTCTGTCTAATTAATGCTACAGTGGTGCTTTTAATCACTGCTCGTATGAATATATTATACAACAAACAAACTAAAGAGGGAAACCGCTGCATTTTGATGTATACGTTTGCAGTTGCCTACAGATGTTTGAGTTTTGAATTAGTTTGGCATCTTTAGTTTTGACTATGATGCTGTAATATTTAGTGAACTCGTTTGAAAATATCTAAAAAGTAAACAGCTAATCGTATTAATCAGATTACACTACTTCAGGGGCCATCTGCCACACACAGAACACCAGACTTGTTCTTTGGACTCGTTGAACCAACATTCGAAGATACAAACTACTTAAAGCTCAAACTGAGATGTGTTGTGATTATTGTCAGTATCGATATTTCCTCAAATGAGTATCTAGTATCGATTAATATCTGATCTTCTACACGTTTTACAACTCTACATCAGAGGTGGGACTTGCAGGTCGTGACTTGGACTCGAGTCAGGCTTGAGTCACTATTTTCAGGACTTGAGACTTGATTTTATAAAATGGACTAAAACTTGGGACTCGACTTGGACTTGAGGCCTGTGACTTGAGAAGACTTGAGAAGCACTTTTAAATCTGAATTCTTTCTATTCTGACGATAATGATTCACACTAAGATCTTGTCAAGACATTTAAAAAGGAAAAAATAACAAAATTAATTTCTACAACTCTTATATAAATACTCATATAAAAATATACTAAGATTTTTTTAAGTACAATTTCGTTTAAAATTCATATAATTGCAAAAATCTAAGATATATTTGGTACTTTGGTTTAAAGACTTGAAATGACTTGCTCAAAGCAGATGACTTGGACTTGACTTATGGGCCAGTGACTTGAGTGAAGGGAGGAGCTATCTAACTCCTGCTAGTTTCAGAGTAGTTTCAGTGTAGTTAGCTCCTCCCTTGAGACAAATATAAGGAAGTGTCCACCAGCATCTGACCAGAACTGAAGAAGCAGCTTGAATGAGTTGCGAAAAATATTCGAGCAAATAAACTTTTGTCCAGTCGGCAAATTGAATTTCTCCTTTGCCGGGCTTGTCTCCCAAAATATGGTCCAGTTCTTCGTAAAATGGACAGGTCACACATCCACGGCTGCTTTGTTTGTTCAAGTCTTTAGCCTCCTTTTATTTGGCTCGCAGGCTCTTTATTTTTCATTGACATTAGAGCCAGGACCATTTCTTTAGCAATCATTTCAAAACCATCCTGTCCAATTTGGCCTTAATACAGTGGTCCCCCCCAAATTTTAATGAACTCACTAACCTCGCTTTCCCTCCATTGACTAGACTCCGAGCCTGACGTGTAGGTGGGATGAATGCGACCTGGCCGTTTAGTCAAAAGATCGGATATGTATCGGTTTTAGGAGCACATATGCAAGTGGCCTGGGTCGCATTTGAAAAAATCGGATCTGTATCGTCCAGACTGTCATTAAAACAGGCCGCACAGGGGCAAAAAAAAATCAGATTTGGGCTGCAGTCTGAGCGTAGCCTAAGTTAGTTCGATTGTATTTGAAACACAGCTCAGGTTAAAGCCTCACTTGAGTAACAGACGTTCAGACAGAGCAGTGCCTTTCAGTTAGCATTTTCACACTGTATGCCTTACCTGAGTGATTCGGCCATGCGTCGCAGGTCCTCATTCTGCTGCTTGAGCCTCTCCAGTTTGGCCAGGATCTTGGACAGCTCCCGACTGGACCTCTCCGGGTGCTCGCTGTCCCTCACCAGGTGCCCGCCTATGTAGAAGAGGAGGGTCCCCCAGGCGAGCAGCACCAGGGTAATCCACCTCCACGATCCCGCCCAGGGTCGCATGGTTCGGCCTCCTCCGATCGGCGTCTTGCCCCCGCCCACCACCACCGCCACCACCGCCGCCGCGAGCCTGGATGTCTGCAAGTCACAAGCCCCGCGACTGATGCAGCGAGGCAGGCATGGGCATCTCTGGTCGGGGTGGCGGTGCGTGGATGGCGGGGCGGCTGGGGTGGTGATGCGGCGGCGGAGGTTGGAGCTCAGGAGTGCGTCGGACTTTGATCATCCAGGCTTTTAGAGGGGGCTAAAGCGTGCCCGGCATGCTGCTCAGAGCTGGGGGTGGAGGAGGTAAGTCGTGCGAGCTTCCCTGGGTGTTTTTGCGTTCGTTTGGAGTTGGTGAGTGGGATGTTGGATGGAGAGGGTGGATTCTGTCGAGAGAAGAACAAAGACAAAGGATGTGTAAGTTTAGGATGAAAATACAGCCGCATTTGCACAAAATTACTGAGAAATCCTGCGTTGTGTAGTGTGGCGACTGAGGTGTAGTGGGATGAGTGCCCTGTTATGTTAAGGCATTTTTTTTACCCTGTATATACAGTTTTGTTTTTTTCTAAGTTATTCCTATTTTTGAATGTTTAAAAGTACCGTTTTTGTAGTTTGTGTCATAAGTAACACGCCCACCAACCAGAGGGTCATGAGTTTTAAGTTTTGAACCATACACTGTACATAATCCAAATCCAAAGTGAGCATGGGCGCACTTCCGGCTCCACAGACTCTGGCTCCAATTAACTTCACATTAAAAGATTGTCATCCCTTTCTGTAACTGCTGCCATGAGCCTTGTCATTTTGGCCTTAAAATGTTCGTAATAACCCGCTCTATGTGATCCTGGAGTATTTATTTCACTATTTTGTCCGTAAAACAATTCCTGATATGGAACTCAGCTCCAAATTCGCTCCTATAACTACTAGCCTCGGTGAGCTTCATTTGACTGGAGTCAAACGCTATGGTGACGTCACACTCCCTTAGTCCACTTCTTTATATCGTCTATGGTTTGAACATTGTCCATCCATGGATTTCAGAATGATGAACAAATAGCAGGGATGTAACAATAACCGAAATATCATGATATCGTATCGTCAAAGTTCTCACAATAATCTCGTGGACCATCACAATATATCGAATTACAAGTGTCTTTGCTTAAATTCATTGTTATGATGCAGCAACAGCTAAAAAAACAGACAGAACTACATAGACCATGATCCTTTGCTCTGTTTTAGTCCAATCTACATGATAAAACAACTGTTTTTAAGCATGTTTAAATCTTAATTCGCATATTCACAGTTTCGGTAGCTTCTGCAAAATATCGTAATAAATATCGTACCGTGAGATGCATATCGTGAAAATATCGTATCGAGAGATTTGGATATTGTTACATCCCTAACAAAAAGGTATCTCGCCATTAGGGAAACTAGTATCAAATAACAGCGTCAATACTGACAAAATTAGCTGGATCGGGTATCGGTTCCATGATATCGGTTCTTGCGATATCCTGGTTGGGCCTTTAATTGGATGTAATATCTTGGCCTAGAACAGGAGTGGGCAAACTACGGCCCTTTAATCCTTTTAGTCTGGCTCGCCAAACTTGAATCATAATTATAATAACAACAGTGATGATAATAATAGTAATTTTCAGAGTTTAGTCATTTCAATAAAAAAAAAAAAAAATGCCAGTAATTTTAATAAAAAGTAAATACCATGGGACTTGAAGGACAGATACTTTGTTGTAATGCTTTGTAACAATTTTCAATTATGGGATATTTCAATAACATGGGATGTGTTTTCTGCATATCTCGTGTTATTTTTTTCTTTTATGAGGTGGATTACCAAAAAACTCCATCCATTTGCTCCTTCCGTCACATTTTAAAACCCTTTGTGACCTACGAGTCAAAAATGTTGCCCATCCCTGGCCGAGAACGCCTCATAAGGTTTGAACTTTTATCACACAAAGCTGTTCAGTCGTGGTTTGAAAGAAAAGTAAAAGCTGCATAACACGATTTGATCTTTAGTAGGGATGTAATAATAACTGTATTATCGTGATATCATATCATCAAAACTATAATATCATGGGCTGTCACGATATATCGAATTACAAGTTGCTTAAATACATGGTTTTACAGTAGCAACAGCTTATGAACATCAGAAACTACATATCCCACGATTCATTACAAGACAAACAACATGAAGAGATATTTTTTTTACTTGAATTCTTGGGATTATGGCGGAAATAATTTACACAAAATCTTTCTCGAGGTATTTTATAAGCAAAAAAGTTTCTTATCTACAATTATATTAGCCTCTTAAATAAATATCGTAATAAATATCGTACCGTGAGATGCATATTGTGATAATATCGTACTGAGAGATTTGGATATCGTTACATCCCTAATCTTTAGTGTAATAAGTTAACTGTGTTTTAACAAAATAAATTCCATTTTCTCTCCTTACACTGGTATCGGTTAATATTGAGAATATCGGAACTGAAAAATCCGAAGTGATGCATCCTTAATTTCCCTCTGGATCAAAACGTATTTCTCTTTCTCTAGTAATTCAATCAAATGTAGTTTAATATCTGACTATCGATACTTTTTTCAATCCAGATTCCAAGTTGTAGAGTGTTCACTGAAAATGTGTGTGTGTTTTTTTTCTAATTATCTAAAAGTACCACATGATTGACACACGAGTCCCATCCCATCCAGACAGAGGGACGTGCCATTACACTGCACAAAAACACAATACAAGATGTTACAACGGTGTCAAAGCAGAATCAATAGTCCTCATCATAACGGCGCTGGGAAAGAGCACAGAGCCTATAACAGTGTAACCGCGTTTGACAGCCGGAGTGACGGGGCCGACTGGTGCCTCCACAGCCCCTGTACTCAGCGGCGGCAGCTCACCGGATTGATCGGGATGACACTGCAATTTACATTTACACAGAGAAGCCCGGTCCCCGAACGCCTCACTGCTGTCGAGGCAGGCCCGGCGCGCGCTGCGTTCAAGTGTAGTCATGAAAAACCGCTGTCAGTCTGCTCGCTCTTAAACACACGAGGCTCTTTGTAACAGCGGACATGCATCATTTGCAGGTAAAGGCAAAGTCAAACCACGAGATACTGAGTTGGAAGAAATACTGTTGGCAAAGAACTGAGAGATAGCGGTGTGTGCTTTAGATAATGTACTTTTGATGTTGATTTTATATATGGACTCATATCGCTGACTGGAATTGAATGCATTGATTTTGTGCACTGCTTCAGTACGCCACTAAAATGTCTTATTTTTATTTAGACAATAGGCTCTGTGCACCCAGCAACCTCACTACTTCCTGTCCAATTGACTATTTATGGCTTTTTTGTGGAATCGTGCTAAAATGAATAAATATTTAAAGATAAGGCAGTGAACCAGGAGCTGTGGGTTAAGTTCACTGTCAACATGTTAAAAATACACAAATAAAAAGTGCACAAATAAAATGAATACTGTATTTTTTTGGACTATAAGGCGCGCCGGATTATAAGGCACGTTACACAAAACAAACATCCACGATCCATCGGCAGATCGTGGCGTAATTCGCCCGGTGTTGTCTCTCTGTCTTGGTGAATGTCAATTATGAATGTGAATGTGGGTGGAGAATTTAAGTTTTTTTTTTTTTCTTACGAGGAGGACTCAAATATACATTGAGAAATAATGTGTTTAATGCAGTTTTGCGTATATGAATTTACTTTTTACAGAAACGAAACTAAAAACCACAAGGCTAATTTGCATAAAATATAAGTGCTGAAAATAAAGCTTGAAGCAGTTCAGCTTCTGTCGGACTCTGTAATGCTCCAACAATCCATCAAGCGGTGCGGCTTCGTAGTTTACCAAAGTCGTACTAAAACATTTTGTCAGATATTTCCACGTTCGAACAGCCCCACAGTGGAGTGTTTTAAGTCTCGTCTTAAAACCCACTTTTACTCTCTGGCTTTTAACACTGCGTGAGTTGTGTGGTCCTCTGTGTCTTTTTTTATTTTATTTATTTTATTTCGTTTTATTTATTTTATTTAGTTTTATCTATTTATTTTTTTTAGTACTGCTTTTATGTAATGATTTTATTATTTTTGTAATTTTTTTTAGTTTATTATTATTGTTATTTTATTGATTGATTTTATTATTTTCCTCATGGTTGGAGCATAATTCTGCAGATTTATTTATTTATTTATTTTTTTTTTAAGTATAATGTTTTACATTGCTATGTAAAGCACTTTGGAAACTGTCTTATTTATATAATGTGATATACAAATAAAGTTGGATTGGATTTTTGGGTGCTGTGTACCACATAAAATTGGTTTGAGGTCAGTAAGGACAACATAATTAATACAAAAGGCACACTGGTTTATAAGGCGCACTCTCAATTTTTGAGAAAATTAAAGGATTTAAATTGCACCTCGGTGCTTAAAAAGAGAGGTGTTTATGTCTCAATGCAAATTCTGAGGCATAATAAATATTACAATGCCACAAACTAAACTATTCTACACATACAAATAATTGGGCAGTGTTATATGGTAAGAAACACCATGTCTGACACTATAGTGTAGGTGAATTCTGCTAAAAACAAACTTAAAATAAAAGCAACGTAAATCACACGATGAATTTTGGTTCTTGTCTTGTTTCAATGTATTTATTTGTCCACATTTCCAGAATAAATTCAGTAAAAGCAGGTAGTTTATGGGCATTGCTTATCTAAAAACAAATCCAATGCAAATAGAGCAGTTTTAGTCTTAGTGTAAATATGACTTTTTTTTGTCTGTATCACCATTTCCAACATGTAACCTACAGTGTAAGACTTGTTAACATCAACATATGTTACTCTTCTTTTTTGCCGTGAACATTTAAACTTCCAGCCATCACTTCTCACAGCACAACCACCTCAATCCAACTCGAATCCGCTTTCAAAACGCTCAAAATAATCCTCAAGAAACTTCTGGGAAAATCCGCATCAATCCGCAGCAAGCCACTATACACTATACTACCCTCATCCTTGTCTGACAGGCTGCAACGTCAAGGTGATGGGTCAAAAGCTCAAAGCAACAACGCCAAAAAAATAAAAAAACAAATAATAAAATCCCTGGATCATCACTTCCCTTCATCGCCAACGCAGCGGGGGGGACACCAGAGGCAACCTTAACTGTCAAATTCATCAACAAAGATCTGCAGAGTTGGCGGAGACGGGACCGATTTATGACGAGATGGAGTGTGGCAGCCATCTTTGCCGCGGTGAGTTGAGAGTAGAGGGGCGGGGCTTGGTTTGATTGGCGGTTGGGTGACAGTGGGTGATCCTGACAAGTTGGAAGTAGGTTAGCGAGAGGCGTCGTGTTAACGTAGCGCATGTGGGGAATGCTA